CTTCCTCGGCGCCTTCTTCCTCCTCCTCACCAGCGTCCTTTAAAATGTTGAGCAGTGATGGCGGCCACCATTTTCAGCCAAACCACCACTACCATCAGCAGCACCAGCAACAACAGCACAGCTCAGTGGCCATCAATTCTAGCAGCAGCCATAATCAACTGGCGTCAGCAGCTTACCATCCTCCCGCCGATTCTTCGAAGCTCCCATTGACAGCTTCCTACAGCTGTCAACTGAATGAAGCAGTGGCACACAGCAGCACCAGCAGCATCACCACCACCAGCACCAGCAGCCACTACAACAGCAGCCACAGCAGCTGCAAATCGACCATTCTTGAGCAGGAGAACATGCCGACTGGCACGTACCGTCGCATTAGTGCCACCAAAGAGCTGCTCTCAGAGGACATTGCATCGGTGCAGCGGCGCAAGATGAAGCAACAACAGCAGCAGCAGCAGAATGAACATCGCAAACTGGGTAAGGTACCACCTCTGTCATAAAGTGCTCAGGAGCAGTTATTGGTGAAGCTGTCATTTGGAGGCGCCAATTGCCGACGCTTTACTAAATCGGCGCTGCACCAACTGCACTGCAGCGCTGCCATTTTCTTTTGCCTGTTTATTTTTGTTGTTACTGCAACCGTCAAATACTGCTACATGTAATACCTTGCATCAGACGACTGCGCTCTATTAATAGTGAGACTGGTACAAAAAAATTTTCACCAGGACGACACAGTCATTGCCTAGCAGCTGCAACTGCGACTTCTAAAACTGCTGCTGCTGCTGTTTTCAGGCGTAAACAGAAGTAGCAGTGCCAGTTGTGATTTCTTTTGCAGGTGGTTAATAGTTGCTTCTGTTGAGTTGAACAGTGGGAAAAAACAGTCGGTGTTAGTGGCTAATGCTCTCCTGGTTAATGATGCTCATGTCAGTGCTATCATCAACGGCTGCCACAGTGGTACAGCAGTTGTACATTACCGTACAATTGCGATTGCAACACACACACACACACTGTATTGACGTGCCGATGAGCTGCTCGCTTATATTTTTATATGCCGTTTGGCAGCAACCTAGGAGGCTCAGAAGTTTTTGCTTGATGTCTTGATGCACCCTGTGTGCACCTGTGGTGTGTGTGTGTGTGTGTCTGTTTCAGTGCTTGCACCGTACAACTGCCGTCAGGTGGAGGAGGGAGGGAGGAAGGCGAAACAGCCGGGAGAAGGGAAGAGAGACAACGATGACGAATCGAACAGTGCAAACTGCTACTGCCGTTGCNTTGTGTGTATGTGTGTGTGTGTTTCGGTGCTTGCACCGTACAACTGCCGTCAGGTGGAGGGAGGGAGGAAGGCGAAACAGCCGGGAGAAGGGAAGAGAGACAACGATGACGAATCGAACAGTGCAAACTGCTACTGCCGTTGCAGTTGCTAATGTCACAGTACAGTCACTGTACAGTGGCATGTTATATCACCGTTTCTGGTGCGCTCATGCAAGCACAGCAATCAGAGGTGATCTAATCGACGGCAGAAATGTTCATCCCTTGAATGCCGATTTCAGTCTGATCTCATTCCCTTCTACCTCTTTTTACTCATCCTGCGCCTCCCTGTCTGCCCGTTTCACCACCATCAACTTTATCAGCTATTTGTCTCTTTTGATAAGATCTAATCTGATTGGCAGCAACCGTAGCAGCCAGTGTATCCAGTGTCTTTCCTACTTTCTTCTTTCATCTCCTCCTGTGCCGGTGTGTGTAACAACACGCCGCTCCGTCTTTTATGACATCTCGGAAGTAAGACAAGAGAGAAAGAGAACAGGTAAATTAATGTTGTAACACACACACACAAAGTTGAGTAAGAACTCGGTCAGCAAGGGAAAAGGGGACAGTGCTTTGCTTTCATCTGCTAGTCACCTACAGTATTTTTTAGTGAGCACCAGAAAATCTGTCATCTGTCAGCTTTACTTGCTCAGCAGTGCTTCAAACCCGAGCATAATTTTCACCTGTAATCGTTCTCGTCATTTTTACTCAATAGATAGTTTAGTTTAACTTACTGTTTAATTACTTTTTTATAAAATAAAATTTAAATCAAAGCACCTGAAGAAGCGATTTCCAGTTTCGTTCATTCGCCACAGTGATAACTGGCAGCAGAAGACTGGCGCCATCCTCAGCATCATTACCATCCAGCAAAGTCTGAATTGGGCTCTACTGCGCAATTGCCGACTGCTCTTCTCTTTTCTTTTTACTTTGAGCGTTGCCGTTCTTCTGCTGCCGCCGCCGTTGCCGCTGTTGACGGCTGTTGTTTTGCTCGTGCCTCTCTCTCTCTCTCCCTTCTGTGGCTTTCAAGTGCTCTTTCTTGGCCAAGGCTTGCTACAACAGCAGCTGCTGCTGCTGCTGCAACTCTCCAACTCGACCTGTGTGTTCCCACTCTCTTTTACCTGCCTTTTGGCTTGTGCTTTTCTATTCTCTCTTCCTACCTTTGGTTTTCCCGCCTGAATCCGGTAGAATATTCTGCAGATTTTGAAATACTTTTGTTACTTCACTGACAAAACTAATGTGTGTTGTCTGATCTTCAACCAAGGCAAGTCTAATGTGCTGTGCTGTGTGATGATGATGATGATGGAATGGAAAAGTTACCTTTTTGAAGCCAAGTTGGTGTCAGTTTCAGTTGCTCGTGTGAATCTCAAATAATCAGTCATCCGTTGGTTCTTCTACTGTTTGACATTGATCTACACTTCACAACACAGAAACAGACACAGTCAAAAGCATCTTCAGATGCAGAAGTACAATCACTGCTGCACAGTCACTTGACTTTGATACACGGTGAACCGCATCAACTTGATTTCTTATCAATCGCCCTTATCTGTTCCCTCTTTTCGTGCCACCAACACACCACTGTTGACGTTATTGGTCGGTTACCGATTGTGTCTCTGATCGAGATCTCACTATAGATACCTGGCACCAATACTTTGGCACTATATCTATTTTTGATTTTCCGCTTGGTTTTGCCACCCTATTTCCGTTTGTTGCAATCTGTCAGCTGAACGTCGTCCCTTCTGTTTTGTTCTCATTGACACATCTTCACGCGCATTTGCAAGCACTATTCACTTCTGTTTCTGTACACAGCGATCTTTAAAAGAGTAGAGACAATCAAAGCAACGGAATGCTCTTTATATTGCCACCACCATTAGGAGCACTACTGGCTTCAGTAGTGAGAGACTTCAGTGGAGACTTCACTTGGCTTGACTTCACGAAGCAGCAGCAGCACTTAACAATTTGTGTGCAGTGACACTTGCTCTAAAAAATACTAATCAAGCCCTTTTCTTCCTTTCACCTCAAAAATACAGAAAAGGCCAACAGCACCTCCTTCACGACATCGGTCGCCTCGGGGGCAAACAAGACGCTCAAGTCCTTCTTCTCGGTGCCGGCCGCCTCTCTCGCGAACAGCGCCTCGCTGCTCATTCAGCGTTCATCCCGCGAATCGAGCCCCGCCTCTTCGCGACGAAACGTCGTCAGCAGCAGCAGTCGATCACGCCAGCAGAGCGGCTCATCAACAGGTGGGGGCAGTGGTAGCACCGTAGGCAGACGACCCTCTCAGGCGTCCATTCTGGCGGCGAAGATGGCCGAAGCGGGACACCAGTCGACGCCCGGCTGGCCCAACAATGTCAACGACTACGAGGTGGGCGAGATCATCGGCATCGGCGCGACGGCCACCGTGCACGCCGCCTACTGTAAGCCTCGCCGGGAGAAGTGCGCCATCAAGAAGATCAACCTGGAGAAGTGGAACACCTCCATGGACGAGCTGCTGAAGGAGATTCAGGCGATGTCCTCCTGCAACCACGAGAACGTGGTCACCTACTTTACCTCCTTTGTCGTCAAGGAGGAACTTTGGCTGGTCATTAAACTGCTCGGTGGTGGTAGGTGTTTTTGTTGACTGAGTTTGCTTGTGATCAAGTTTCTAAATGAAGTATTTTCTGCATTTAACCAGGTTCACTGCTGGATATAATCAAGCACAAGATGAAACACGAAGACTGCCGCCATGGCGTCTTTGACGAGCCGACGATTGCCACTGTTTTGCGAGAAGTTCTCAAGGGACTGGAGTACTTTCACGCAAACGGCCAAATTCACCGAGACATAAAGGCGGGAAACATTTTACTAGGCGATGATGGCTCGGTTCAAATTGCAGGTGAGTTTCTGGGTTACTTTTGCTGTTTTTGAACACATTTTGTTGACACTTTTTTCTGTTGTTGATAGATTTCGGCGTGAGCTCATGGCTGGCCACTGGCGGCGACCTGTCGCGGCAAAAGTCTCGACACACCTTTGTGGGGACGCCCTGTTGGATGGCCCCTGAAGTGATGGAACAGGTGACTGGGTACGACTTCAAAGCGGACATTTGGAGTTTGGGCATCACCGCACTGGAGCTGGTTACCGGCACTGCGCCCTACCATAAATACCCTCCAATGAAGGTACACGCTGTTTGTAGCACATTTCCTTACTTCTGGTCTGACATTTTTTCTTTTTCTCTTTCTGCTAGGTGCTCATGCTGACGCTGCAAAACGATCCGCCCACCATCGAGTCAGTGTCCGAGGAGAAGGACCAGTTTAAGAACTATGGCAAGTCGATTCGCAAGCTCATTGCCGAGTGCCTTCAGAAGGACCCAGCCAAGCGACCGACTGCAAATGAGCTGCTGAAGCACCAGTTCTTTCGAAAGGCTAAGGTAACCTTGCCGCAATATTCACCGCCAAAACTATTATTCACCCGCTCGTGTGTAGTGTTGTGTTGCACCACTAGTTAGATAGACGTAGTAATCCGTTTGTTTCCTTTGCTCTCTCATATTCACTTTGCAGGATCGCAAATTTTTACAGGGCTCTCTATTGACCATTGCGCCGAGCATTGAGGAGCGCGCCAAGAAGGCGAAAACTAGTCGTCGAGCCCAGGGTGCCAGTGGAAGGCTCCACCGGACGGAGGCAGGCGATTGGGTGTGGTCATCATCGGACGAGGATGACGATGAGGGACCACCAACGGAGAGAAGTGGCGGCAACGGCAACAACAACAATGGCCATGACAGCAAACTGGCCACTGAAAATGGCGGTGCCCCGGCACCGGCAAATGTGGTCAATGCAGCTGTCTCCAATGTCAATAACACCATCACCAATGATTCGACATTGGTGCAGAATCTGTCAGGTATTTTGATGTTGTTTTCAGCTATCAAGCTGTTTTTGATGAGCTTTTTTCCATTACAGCAAACACAAAACCAAGTGGCGAGCAGAATGGCGCAAACAAACTGGCCCAAGCAGCCGGTGGCATTCCCTCATCGACCTCGAGTAATGACCTTCAGCAACTGCAGCAGCAGCAGCACAGTAGTGCCTCCTCCACTGAGCCGAACAGTGCCATCTCATCGCCTGCACACGCCCCTTCCCAAGCTGGTGGTGAACAGCAGCAGCCTTCCGGTGACCACCTAAATTCAGCTTCTCTGTCAGTTGCAGGCGGTGATGTGGACAGCGGTGATACGCCCATCAACCTGGTTCTTCGCATTCGAAACACCAATCGCGAGCTTAATGACATTCGGTTTGAGTTTACCGTGGGAAGAGGTAGGAAGACAAATATTTTTGTGTAGCATTTTAACTAACAACTTTTTTCCGCTCGTAGACACTGCTGAAGGCATTGCCGGTGAGCTGATTTCTGCTGGTCTCGTCGATATCAAGGACTTCATACCGGTGGCGCAAAATTTAGACCGTTTAATAAAAGACCGAGCTAAGATGAAGAATGTTGTCTTTCCACTGGTAAGTTTCGCATGTCTACATTTGTGTTTTTATTGCTAATTTAATGTTTTGGAAAAAACAGCAGGTTTCAACTGAAAGTGCAACTGAAGTATTAGACGAGAAAACACTGAATGGTTTTGCGCAAATTTCCATTGCTTAAATGAACTATTATATCAGCAACTACTCAAAATCAACTGGAAGATCTTGATTTTATTTTAACTATTTTATTTTTTATTAATATCATTAGCAGCTTCTAAAAACAGAAAAGCTGCACCAATTTTTAAATTTTAACACATCGTCATCTAAATGGTTGTTTGCTGCTTCATTTTAGTTTTGCGTTTATATTACTTTATTACTCATTAGTTGTGTAACTTATTTTTCTTTCTTTATATTTTTTATTCACTCATTTTAACTTGCAAAAGTCAAGCGCCCCTCTTCTGTTCTTCTTTTCTCTAATTAATTAGTCATTCAATACTAATTCATTTGAATAGTGAGTAGTACGTTACTCTTAGCAAATATTGCCGTTTTCTAATCAGCCGGATGTTTGCTTTGCTGTTCGTGCCAGTGTTCTTTTGCCCTGGGCCTTGATGTGATCCTTTGTCTTCCGCAGCACTAATCAGCAGCCCTATTTATTTGGTTACCCTTGACCATTGATTACTTCATTGTACTATGTTCTGTTTACTTTTTAATTAGCATCTTCCGTTTTGTCGACCATTTTTTCTGTTTTGAATTTGTATCGCAACTCTTTCTGCGTCTCAAGCACAAAAAAGCCACAAGCAAACACTGATTTATTTGCCGAATTTTGAGCAAACTCCTCTCAAATTCCATGTGCCTAATGATTTAGTGATAAAAGCAAAAATGTATTTGTACTGACACTCATTACTCGCATTTGTGCAATCTCTTAAGTACAAATAAAAGAAATAGTTTTGGGATTTTTTGGTATTGTTTGGTATTGTTTGGTGTGTTGTACCCATTATCATTTAAACATTTGAAAACCGACCTTGAACTTGCAACTCCAAATGGCTTCACAGATCTCTGACCTGTTGAGGATTCCAATCTACGCTTATTATTCATCACAAACCATTATCACCTCATCATTTATTGTGATTAAAAGCTCCTATTCCACGTAGCTGTGATAGCTGTAAAAGGGCCACCATTACTTTCCGAGCACGCACAGTGCGCTAATTGAGCAATTCATCAAGCACCAGATATCTTCACCGTTGGTGCTGGTAGAAGTAGCATTGTTGTGTAGTGCAGTATTTTTTTTGTACTCCTCATTGGATTTTTTGTTTTGCCAAGGTTGACAAAATGGACAATGGGCAGCGGTAAAACACTGATGACTTTTATTTCTACTTGACTTTGCAGAATCTGCAGGTTATTTTATAATACTGGTTTGATTTACCATGTTTGAAAAAACAGAAAATCAGATTTTGAGTTAAGATTAATTAAAAAAATGTTGATTATTAAAAAAGTTTAAAAGAAAACCAAATAGTTGTGTTAAAGAGCGCTCGAACAAGCAAACAGGCAAGCAGTATGTCGTTTTTTCAAGAAAAAAATGTTATGTTTTGTCTACTTTTCCTCTACCATGCCATGAATTAGACTTTTCCATGCTATTACATTCTGCTAATAGTCATCTAATGGTCATTGTGTTCATTAGTGATCACTGGTGTAATGAATTGTTGCACTGAGCCATACATACCACTACATTCTGTAGGAAAGAATGCGCCAGAATCGTACAGAGGTACTGCCGCCATGCCAGCAATTGACTCAACTGTTTGAAAAAACAATGCAGAACAAAAAGGGGCACTTTAATTTGCCTAAAAGAACTGCTAAAGATATTGCGCCCTGACTGCTCTAATTAACTTAGAGCTGCGCTTGAACCTGTACTGAAACGTCGCCTTCCTTATCAGAAAATGGGCCCACTGCTAACCACTCATTTTTAATCGGCTTTTGACTTTTTGCGCCTCTCTTTTTTTGTTAGGAGAAACACTCATGCCAAAGACCAGTTTTAATTTCATTCTACAGATCTATAACTAAAAACTGTGTGTGCTCAGAATGTAATAGAAATTAAATAATTTTATTATTATGATCATGACGAGAAGATAACAGTGAGTAGCTCGGTGTAGTGCTTTACAGTGGCAAAGATAGTAAAGTCAATGAACAAGTTCAAGGGTAAAAAACCTTCACTTTTCAGGTGCAAAACACTTTCTACTTAGAGTACATTGCCTTGGTGTTTTATGTTCATTGCTTGACTTTCCAGTTCTTTGTGTTCATTTTGCTCACTCAATGTTTATCTTCAATTAATTGGCCGTAAAAAATGCAAACTACATTTTGTAATTTTGCGTAAAGAAGCTTTCATTTTTAAAACACTGAAAACTTTTTAAAATAACTAAGTCAATTAAATAATTATTAGAGTAGTTTTTCTAAAGTCAAAAGTACAAATCTGTAATCTTATTTGTAAAAGAATATTTTGTAAAATGATGCGCATCACTAATTTTCTACACTAAAAAAAGAATATTTTAAAGAATTGCAAAAGTAAAAACGGAAATTATTCTTAGCTGTCTTTTTTACAATACCGACAGTTATTTTCAAGGTTTTCAGTAAGGCAACGCGTCAGTTTTCTACAATTTTTTTCTTATTAAACATTTCAAAATTAGCCACATTATCTAAAAGAAATACAACGTTATTCAACAAATGACTTTGTTTTTGAAGCAATGTTTAATGGTCTTATTTGTGAGTGAACTGTTAAAATAATATTTAACATCAACCGGAATTCAACTGCAAATGTTTGCTTATTTAATAAATGTCTACGCTAGAGCAATTCGATGCAAAGGAAGTAAAAGTGGGTAACGGGCAAACCCTTGTTAAACTGCTAACAAACGTACAGTAAACACATGTCAACAGCAGTAACTAAAGAAGACCTACTGACTCTTTGAATTTGACCTTGATTTCTGATCCAATATCGGTTTGACATTTGTAGTGTCAGCCACAATTGTTTCACATTTGTTTCCGTGTTGTTTTTTGCCTAGACACTTGATTAGACTGTTTTGTATTTGTTCACTCTTCTGAACTTGTGCTAGTAACGGTGTAATTGTTACAACTTCTCGCCAATACCTGTTTGATATTTGGCCACCACGTTAATCTTGTTTGCACAGAAACTGGTGGCCGTTGGACGTAGGCAGACATGAAACCTAGTGTGTCGTGTACTGATAAGTGGCACTGTGTCAAACGGCGACAAATGTTCTCTTGTACCAACTGTCTTTCTTTTCTTACCCATCATTCGTAGGCTTATCAAGTTGACCTTGCTGCTTGAAACACCCAATTGTTTAACTTTCGTTTTTCGATAAACCTTTAGCATACAGTGTCAACATGGTTTGTGCGTCAAACGTTTTGTTAGCTAACTGTATACGTTTATCAAAAGTACAATATTATTTTTTTTATAAAAAATGAAAAAAAGTTTAATTGGTAAACCGCTTTCTCCATGTCCTAATTTATGAGCTACTTTGCCAGCTGCAGTAGCTTGTAATGGCACGGCAAATTGTTTCTCGGAATGAATTTAAATCAATGCCGATTTTCATTGCAGTGCTCGCAGTGCTTGTGCCGCCATGATAAACGGCTGCTGGTGGTCATATTTCAGACCAATTGCTCGCGGTGTCTTGCACTGTGTGCGCTTGGTATTCAGTGCTTTCTGTCAGCGGGCAAAGGCTGAGGCTACAGAATGAACACACAAATTCATCGCTACTTGCGCCATAACTCATCTTCAAGCTTGCATCTCAAGCCTGCAAAGTCGAAGTTTCAGTGAGAAAAAAAGCATTCTGCATTCTGCTGCTATTCTACATCTACCGTACAGCATTGATGCTGCTGTACAGGCTGTACATTTGTTTTTTGCTTTTTCTTTTTTCTGCCCTTGGCTCCCCTCGCCTTTCCTCTCCCCGTTGAACCATCGTCCAAATCTGCACTGCTTAAAGACGCTGGTCGTTGGCTCTTCAGTTTTTCAGTCTTCTGGTCGACTGTCTGTCTGTCNTCTACCATCGTCCAAATCTGCACTGCTTAAAGACGCTGGTCGTTGGCTCTTCAGTTTTTCAGTCTTCTGGTCGACTGTCTGTCTGTCTGTCTGTCTGCTGGCGCTGGTCGCTCGCTGTTGGTTCGCTTGTCATCGTCTTCTAATTTATGACCCGAACCGGGCTTCGGTTTTATAGCCCTGCTGGTGACAATAAAGCATGTATAATAAAGCATGAGAAAGCGTCTTTGCTTCGTTATGCACTGTGAACTGTGGCACTGCCGAATAGAGAGAGAAAGAAAAAGAGGCTATCTCTGCAGTGTGCTCGATTGTCAATGTACATAATCTCACTTCTGGCCGTCTGGGTTAGCCATGGTGGGGCTGCACTGCGCCAGACAGACCACAACAGCAAACATTGAGTTTGTTGTGGCCAGTGCTCTACAATTCACACACTAACTGTGCTTCCCCTCTCCTCTCTTTATCCAGCAAATCGCCACCAATTTGCCGAATGTGTCACACGTTGACAACGTGTGCTACGTTTTCAACACAAAATAAAATACTATTTACCATTAAAAAACTTAAAAACTAGTTTTTGGGTACGTTTTGAAAACTGTAATCGATTGAATCTCGATAGATCTCAAATATTTGTTTATTTGAGGTCCGTATCAGTAAATATCTGTGCGAGTTTCAAAGCAATTTCATATTGGTGCAGCTCTATCAATCATCAGCTGACAGTTCTCAGGCTGACGGTCAACTGAGACACTACTTGGAGGAAGCATCTTTGCTCATTTCGTCTGAAAAGACTGGTCATTTGTCCGACTAACGATGTCAAACAAGTCAATCTGAATAATTTATTGCCTTTTCTTTTATGATTCCATTTTAATGTACAATAGCAAAAACAACAACAACAACAAACGTCTTCATCGTGTATTTGGAGCACGCAATGACAATTGTGTGTGGACAAAGCACCAGAAATCGCCATTTGTCTGTCTCTCTAAAAAAGTTGATTTTATTGGCCAGATTTGGTATTTGCACGCAAAATAGCCTGAACTATTTTATTAGAAACAAACTTTTCTTTGCCTTATTACATTATTAATCCCACTCAAATTACCGGCTCAATTAATTGTACAGCAGCAGCAGCAGCAGCAGTAATATTGTTTCCGGTTTTTTATAGCAGTAAGCAACAGAAGCAAACACTACAGAGCCTAATCAGTTTGATTTCCTGCTCATTGGTATTCTTTTAACGCTGACTTTTTTGGTTCTTAGAAGAAAAGGTCAACTTAGAGCTTTGCTAAATACTTACATTAGTTCAAGTGAATTTGATTAGATGAAGCTTCTTCTTCTTTTTCTTCTGAATTAAAGTCAGTATTAAAGTGCTGGTGCAGTTTGCTTTGCCAGGTGATCTTCAAACACGGTAATCCCCAATTTTTTTACCGTAAGCAGTATTTTCACGTTCTCACGCAACGGCTCAGAAATAGACCATTAAGTGTGTGTGTGTGTGTGTGTTATTGTTTGCAGGTAAGCAATTACACAAGCAATTATCAATCAATTGGTATTACCTGACTTTTAGAACCAGCCTTTGTTATTCTTTTCTTTTGATTTCGATCCTCGTTGAATACCATATTTGTATTCTGTTTAACGGAAACGGTCAGCCGGTGACATTTCGATGTCAGGCTCGTTAATGCCTGCCAATTGCAGGCAAACCATAATGATTTTGCACTAAAGAAAGACCGCCTCAAGTGAGCCTTTCTCTTTTCCCTTTTTCCTCTCCCTCTCTCTATCTTTATCTTCAGTCCCGACGATTGGTCAATTTGTAGGGTCCAATTAAATGGCCATTACTCAAGTGCTGACCAAGTTGATGAATGACATCGAGCAACAGCAACCAGCTTTGCCCTCTGTCCTTGCACTCTTCATTTTTCTCCACCATGGCTTAGGCTTCTATGCCCCACCGAAAAGTTTCTTCTGCTCTAATGATTTTTCCCATCTCGTTTAACCTAGTAGTCGTCTACCCTCTCTCTCCACTGTGTGTATGTCTCCTTTACACTGGTTGGCCTCACTTAACGCTGGTGTGTCACTGATTAAGTCGATCATTTGCTAAAATGATTGATGACAGCGCCTAAATGATGTCTGTGGGGCTCGGTGTTTGAGTGTGTGTTTGTGTTTGTGGTTAGGTAAAAGTAGACAGTGAACACGATGAACAAAGACACCGGTCAACTGCCCGGTAACATTTTCCATTAGTTGTGCAAAAACAACAACAAGAAGAAAACACACAACTGATTTCAGACCGGAAAATGTCACCCAATGCACGTTCCACTTCTCTCGGAGAGTTTTTCTATTTTGGCGTAAGCACACTGTTGACACGGATGACTGTTTTTTGTTATCGTCACTGTCAATCTGCCCACAACTCCAGGTGCATTGGTCTACTCAATCGACATCAGGCGTGATCTTGTAAACCACCCAAATAATTGTAACCACACCTTTTGTACATCACATCCTCATATATTTTTTGTTTGTTTGTTTGTTATATTAAATTGTTTAAATTGGAAAATAATAATAGAGTGAAAATTCATTAATAAAAGCAATTAATTATAATTGTAAGCAATTAAAAAGTAACAATTAGAAAAAGAAACAAAGAATAGATGAATGTGGGTTCAGATCAAGTGATGCGGTTTCAGTGTTTGTTTGTTGTGTGTGTGTGTTTGGGTTGGTGGGTTGTAGTTTTTCTGGTCTGACAAAGAATGCAAGACTATTGGAAAGAAAGTAGAGGAGAAAAAATGAAGTTTGATTGAAAAGTAGCAATGGTGCAGCTGGTAGTTTACCACTCAGTTTTAAAGAATGCAATGTCAATATTTTGAATTTGCTGGGCAAGATGGAGAATTGTAATGACTGAAAATAGAAAGAACCAAAAGAAGAAAGAGAAAAAACACGTGTTTTCAAACAAGATGAAACATAGTCAACAGCAAAAACAGTCAGGCAAAAAAATAAATAGAGAATGAGAAGAATGGGAGAAAAGGAAAAAAACATAAAAAAGGGAACAGAAGACAAGGTCGAAGGTCGATGAAAAATGTGTTTGTGAAGAGGAAAAAGAGAGAAAGTGATGTGACTTGATTGTGTCAGTGCTGGGGTTGAAGGTGACAGTTGATGACAAGCAACTGCATCAACGAGTCCAACAGTTTCAATGTGCTGACCAGTGGTGGTGGTGGCAATTGAAGAGAAAAAATTACGAGTGCATGTTTGCTTTTTGTTTGTCCATTGATGATATCAGTGATTGAATCAGTAATGTAAGGTGAGAGGAAAAAGAGAGAATAATAAATTAAAGCAGTATTAGACTGAAAAAAGTGTGTGTGTGTGTGCAGTAGTCGTAGTAATCATAGTAGCGGTGCTCCTTCCTAGTGAGCTAACGGCGATGAAAAGTCGGGGAGTTGAGGTGAGGTGAAAGATGATCGGGCCAGGCAATGGCCCTCTTCAACTGATGACCCTGTGCAATGAAGGGGGTGGGGAAGGGGGAGTGACACAAAATGACATGGAATGAGGAGAGGGAGAGAAAGTGCATGCATTGAATTGTCAGTGCAGATCAATAGGAGAATAATGACTGTTTGAAAGTGGATTAGAGTGTGTGCTGAAGATGGGTGGTGCTGGAGCACTGGAGGTATATAGTATATACACCGACAGCAGTGCAAGTAAAAAAATATTTTTTATTCAGTTTTTCCTCAGCATCAGCATGATTGGAGAGAGTGATCACGTGCAGCCGCACTCATCGACGACCATCTTCGGCAGGTCTGACTTGATGATGTGCCCCTCCGGGTCGAAGTAGATGAGGGAAATGGAGGAGAGCTTCGTCGGTGCACAGCAGGGCGTAATGGAGGCGTAGGGGTTTTTCATGCGGTACTCCTCGATGACGTGCGAGTGAAAGTAGGCCATGACGTCGGGCGACCGGTGCAGCTGAACACATTCGCCCATGCAGTAGTTGGCCGTGTAGCCCTTCGGGTAGATGATCCAGTCGTCCCAGCCGAGAAGGCTAAAGTCCACGTACAGCGACTGCTTGCAGCACTGCTTGATCTTCCCGTCCTCGCAGTTGTAGGCGTGACGGCGGCTGCGACGTTTTAGTTTGGTCCGCGTGGTGATCACCACAAAGGGCTGAAAATGACGACGAGGTTTCCGGGCTCCAGGCGTTTTGTGGTGGTATGCCTCAAGTGCTGTGACTGCCTGGGAGTTGGTTTTTTCGCCGACACTGTAATTTCTACTTTTAATTGTCTGGTTGCTGGTGATGGAGGTGGTGTTGTTTGAGGTAGTCTGAAAGGAGGATTGTTTGCTGCCAGACCGACTGTTGCCCGCTGTTGACCCTTTTTGTGGGCGATTGTTGCTGTTGTTGCTGTTGTTCCTATTTTTCTTCTGGGCTGCTGGTCGGTGGCCAGTGGCCAGGTCAATCTCCAGCAGTTGATTACAACCGACGCAGTCAATTAGCAGCGTCAGCTTTTCTCTGGCTAAGAAAGGGGCGGATGAGGCCTGGGCATACCAGTCGGCCACGGCTGCAGTCAAGTCAATCTGCGTCCAGCCACGACTCGGCTTGGTCAGTCGGTGTGTCGTCAGCAGGCTGAACTGAAGCCGATTGCTCTCATTGTAAGCTGCCCCAGAATTTTGTTGTTGGTAATTAGCTGATGATGATGATGATGATGATGATCGACCACTCGTTTTTCTTTGGTGCATCTCCGAGGATCGCTGAAAGAAGGGCGTAGGGTAGATGACAGTGTTAGATGCCCAGCTTTCCGCCTGCTGCTGCTGCGACTTGTTGACCACTTTGAAGATGTACAAAGTGACGGGTGCACTGAAAACAGGCTTCCGCTTGGGAAACTGCGCCCGAACGGCGGTTCGATTGTAGATGAGTCGTGCCCAGAGAACGGCTTTGGTCACCGCCAGCTTGTGGAGATTGTCATGCGGCGGAGTG